TTTGTTTTCTTTTGGTGTTAATATAACCACCATCTGCTTTGTGATGTTTTGTTTTACATTTTTCAGTTTATTAGGGTGATATTTTTTTTTTTTTTTTTTTACTGTGATCAGTTTGATTGCTGTTGGGATGAATATATTACTTTTTAAAATTATAATAATGATAGATTTGGAACAAAAGAGATATTGGTGTGAATACATAACGTTTAAATAAATGAATTTAATAAGGTTAATATTTTAATAAAATGCGGATGAATATAATACTTTTTAAAATTAAAAATTTTTAAAGGGGATAGATTTGGAGTGAGATAGATATATATGAGAATGATGGAGGAAAATAGCGACTTCCTTTTATAATTACCTACAATATGTATGTTAATTATAGGACATTGACTTGAAATAAAATACCAAAATCACAATAAAAAATTATAAAGCATAAATGTTTCGTGACAGCACAAAAATAAGTTGTTTTATGCTACAAAAGTTCTATGTAAAACGTAAATGCATTGCAAGGTAAGTTATTGGACCTTTTTATCTCATAAGATCAACTCATCTAATAAAAAAATTTAAAATTAAATTTCTATTTCTACCAAAAATTTCTTTAATTATTCTAGTCATGGTCTAGTTTTGCTAAATATTTTGTAAAATCAGATACAAGGTAAATTATCACGTTGACTCGATTTGTCATAATCAGACGTATTTGTTATGTACTATATGGAAAGTATCATAACAATACTTTCAAAATCTAACTTCACCACTCACAATAAAGATAAGCAAAATACAAATCCCTTAAACCGCTATTTCTCAAAGTTCAATCCAACACAAGTTCAAACACAACGGCGTCAACAACAAAGTCAAAATATTATATTCCAAACTACATAAGCTCAAATGCACCATCACATGCCACAAAAATCATTAATATCACATGTCAACCATTGAAACAACATTAAAAATACTGCAACAATTGTTTTTGTAATTGGTAAAAGAAGTGTCAAAACACGACACTTCTTTAAATAATATGATACTTTTATTTCTAATTCCTTGTCTACAGGTTGTCTAGATCATGTAACGGGATTTGTGTTTGTTACCTGTTTTATATAAGAAATCAAACAATGTTAAATTCAACTATATTATTAAATACCGTTTGATAAACCAAACATGGCATTAGCAAATTAAAAAAAAAAATTGTAATTTACCGTTTGATAAACTTCAAATTCGATTTTATATTATGGGTAATATGAAAGAGATCATTGACCTTTCCCAATAGAGAAATATTGATATATACGCATCTAAAGTCCTTTTTTTTCATAACAAAATAAAGTAAATAAATAAATTAGGGTAACGAAAACTCGATAATTAACTATTTGTTGTCATTAGGGCTTGTTTGGGCCGAATTAAAATCTGATTTTAATTTAAGTCAAAGTCAAACAATCAATATTAACCAAATATCTCATGGGTCTCACATATTTTGGCAATTGTAATTGAAGATTGATAGGACTAAGGACTTCTAAGATGATGGGAGTGTAGAAAAGAGGATAACCTGAAAGGTTGCCATCACAATAAAGAGATTTTTGGATCATTCATAGTTACAAATTTGACAAAACTCTCTTTTAGTGCTCAAAACAATACTTTGCATACTGAAAGACAATTGTTTCATTTTCAGTGTTGTGCTGGATGAAAGTGCTTTCAGTGTTGTGCTGGATGAAAGTGCCATAATTCTTATCAAGTTAATCATCAGTGTTGAAAAACAATGCTAAACATAGAATATATATATATATATAAAGTATTTTTATGAGTCGAATTTTATGAAGTACATCTTAAAGTTATGATCTTATCTCACTTAAAAATTGTTACGACCGATCTTATCTTTTTAATTCCAAGTTCATGTAAAACGATCGTCGTTCTTAAATTCCTTTTTTGATAAATCTATAAGAAAAGACTCTTGAATACTTTTTACTTTTCCAAAGTACCATAAAAAGACTCCATTGGTAGGATGAAAAACATAACTTCAAATTTTATGAAGTACGTCTTATGATCTTATCTCACTTAAAAATTGTTATGACTGATCTTATCTTTTTAATTCCAAGAAGTTCATATAAAACAATCATCATTCTTAAATTCCTTTTTTGATAAATCTATAAGAAAAGATTCTTGAATACTTTTTTTCTTTTTTCCAAAGTATCATAAAAAGACTCCATTAGTAGGATGAAAAACATAAATTCAAATTTATGAGTATATCTTAAAATTATTATCGTATCTCACTTAAAAATCGTTATGATCGATCATATCTTTTTGATTCCAAGAAGTTCATATAAAACAATCATCATTCTTAAATTCCTTTTTTGTTAAATCTATAAGAAAAAAAAACTCTTGAATACTTTTTACTTTTTCCAAAGTATCATGAAAAGACTCCATTAGTAGGATGAAAAGCATAACTTCAAATTTTATGAAGTACATCTTAAAATTATGATCTTATCTCACTTAAAAACTGTTATGATCGATCTTATCTTTTTAATTCCAAGAGATTCATGTAAAATGATCATCGTTCCTTTTTTGATAAATCTATAAGAAAAGATGCTTGAATACTTTTTACTTTTTTCCAAAGTATCATAAAAAGACTCCATCAGTAGGATGAAAAACATAACTTCAAATTTTATGAAGTACATCTTAAAAGTATGATCTTATCTCACTTAAAAACTGTTATGATCGATCTTATCTTTTTAATTCCAAGAAGTTCATATCAAACGATCACGATTCTTTAATTCCTTTCTTTGATAAATCTATAAGAAAAGATTCTTGAATACTTTTCCTTTTTCCAAAATATCATAAAAAGACTCCATTAGTAGTTCCATTAGTAGGATGAAAAACATAACTTTGATTTTTGTCTTTTCTTTATATGTCTTGTAGACTTTTCTTAGTTGAACTTCAATGGGATGCTTAAGCATTTGAGAGTGCAACTTTAGCGCCACTCTTACCAGTTGTCGAACTTTCTATGTCGGCCACCTTCACCTTGTCGCACTAGATTGAGTATGTGCAAAACCGGTTCTAAGGACAATAATTTATTTATCGCGCTTCAATCTATTATTTTTTGAGCTTTTTGTTTTTGTTATAAATACTAAAGTATTTTCAAACATCTCATAATTTTCAGGCATTTGCATAGAAAAAACTATATTTAATTTCATCTTTTGTGTGTGTGTGTATACTTCTAAAAATAAATAAATAAATCATTGGGTTGCCAACTGAAGCAGCCCATATCACAGCACCAATAAATGACTATTTCCTTTAATAATCAAATATACCAAATAAATCCCCCCCCCCCCCCCCCCCCCCCCCCCCCCCCCCCCCCCCCCCCCCCCCCCCCCCCCCCCCCCCCCCCCTCCATTTCTTTTCTTTTCTTTCTGTGCTTCAATTTGTTGGGTCAGACAATTTAGTATATACTACCTCAGATAGTAGGTACCTCGGAATGCTTCTATTTTACGTTAGAGTAGTTCATGTTTTTAAATTCAAATGGTTGAATTATATATATTTAAACGACAAGTTGTTGCATACGTGACATGTACAAGGATATATAGACGATTCCCTCTCCATCTTCTGCTAGCTAATATTACTTATTTCACGTTGCAAGTTAAAAAAATTATACAACATGAGTATCGACACGAATCTAACTTTTTTCTCTGTTATTTAATATGTTGGGAACAAGTCATTACTCCTTATGACTTGTTTAATGCGATGGAAAACACAAGAATAATTCATTTTAAAGAAGAAATTCAAACCAAAATTTTGTTATTTAATTCCATCTGATGTAGCGTACTAAATATGCTTTTTAACATCTTTGTTCATTTTAGCTTGTGGCTGTAGTTTTGGCTCTGAAAGTTGAAAGATATATTCATTAAATAATTATCGTACTATTTTGAGCATATTGAAACCTAGTCATAGGAATGCTATTTTGTCGGCTCAACAAAGATACTGTTGACTGAAATTTATCGTGGCAGTTCAACAAAATACGAGTTTTTGATGCAGACAGTGGTTTGTCGACTCTTGGGTTATTCGGGGCAAGTGTTTAAAGGATAAAGTTAGGAGAAAGTAGAGCCAACTCCAATTCAAATATTTCAATTAAGAACTGACAAAAGAAGCTGTCCAAAGGGTCATCCTTCAGTGGAACGTCATTGCAGTGTTAGTGGGGGCTGGGCCATTTTATTCCATGAAGAAAAGACATACAATTGATGCGTTCTAATCTTCTAGAGAAGAAGAATTAAGAGTTTGTGCTATTTATGTTACTATTTTAGTATAATTATTGGGCTTAGTCTTGTTTGATGGAATGAAATCAAGAACTAATCAACTCCAGGGTTAGATTAAGGTTCGCGTGTAGTTTTTAATATAGGATGAAGTTAGAAGTTACGTTATCACGAGATGACTCTTATTGTCCACGGTTCAACTTTTAAGTTCGTCACTTCAGACACTAATTGAGGAAAAAACACTCATGATTATGTTTGATTAATCTAATTCACTCATTCGATGATCAATATATTGTACAATATTATACGGTTGTTTCTACGGAACAAATTCTTGGTAATAATCATCAAGTGCAACCCACAAGTTGGAATATTCTATCTACTACTTCCAAATGAGATATTATTCGTGTGAACATAATCCAAAAATATTACTTGTAATGTCAAATGTAAAGAAGCAGGTGGAGATCGAATGTGAAGCCACGTCATCCTACAAATAGGATCAAATCATACTATAACTTGAAGCCACACGAACACTTGTTTCTAACACGTAATTCCCTTCTTCTTTTATTTTATTTTTTTGACCAACCAATAGTAAAAATTGTAAAGAACTACCCTCTAATAAGTAATTATCGGTTTTTGTAAATAAATATCATATTTCTTATTTGTATATATATTGACATCCACACGCACTGTCATTTGCCCTTGCTGCATTTGAAAGTCAATACATTCTCTCTTTCTCTCTCTACTACCGCCACGCCACCTTGCCGGAAAATGAGTAGTTTGAGCATGATTGAGTCAAAGCTGCCGCCGGGGTTTAGGTTCCAGCCAAAAGATGAAGAACTGATATGCGATTACTTGATGAAATGGGTAACAGGTTGCAGCCAACAAACCCCTCTGTTAATTGAAGTTGACCTAAACAAGTGCGAGCCTTGGGAAGTTCCCGGTGAGTCCTCCAATTTTCTTATAATCTACTTCATATTTTTATTTTTATTTTTTGCATTATATGTATAAATTATATACATTCTATATTTATCATTCTTGGTGCTTACTGTAATATAATATATTCCATGCATTAATTTCTTTGGCAGCAGATAGTGATTGGTCTTGATAGAAATTCAGTGGACAGGAATTTATGATTAATGTTGTGATTATCCTAAAATATGTTGTAATTAATAAAGTTTTGTTTGCCTATGGGGAAAGTAACCATCGTGCAATTCATTTTCATCCGATCGGCTAAGTGAACTTCATTTTCAATACCCTCGTCCGTTCATTTTATTCTAAATTAATCTTTAATTTGTTACTATAACTAGTTAAATTTTATCGTTGCAAGTGTGTGGATTCTTTTGCTTTAATTTTTATTTATCTTTATGTCGATAAAAATCAAATCAAATTTAACACCGAGCCCTCGTAAATGAATTCTTGAAGTTTACGGAAAATAAGTTTTATAATTGACGATCGATACTTCTAATTATTGGTTTTGATTTTCGTTCGTTGCTTTATATTTTCTATTAATGTTTTAGTAAACTAAATCGTAATATTTTCTTCCAAATACCTTTTTGTAGAAATCGACAATCTTGGAGATATCCTAACAAAAAAGATGGTGACAGTGAGTGATTTCAGATAACAAAAGAAAATTCCTATTTGCACATAGTCTCAACCACACACGAGTAATATTCTGGGTTTCAACATCATCACTTTTCAAAATTTTCCTTATTCTTTGTGAATAATGATTTCTTATTATAATTGAACATCTTGACCCTTTGTCTCCACATAATTATTGGAGCAAAAGATTATCTATCCATATGGGGCTTGTTTGTTGCCCATAGGTCCTTATCGACCATCCACCATCGTATTCCTATTCATTTATCATATGATTTTTACATTTATTTCTTAATTATATGACATCTGTATAATTTTCATAAATTGGTTGCAGAATTAGCATGTGTAGGAGGCAAGGAGTGGTATTTTTATAGCCAACGCGACCGGAAATATGCAACCGGACTAAGAACAAATCGGGCTACGTTATTCGGTTACTGGAAAGCGACCGGGAAAGATAGACCGATTTTTCGAAAACGAGCCCTAGTTGGGATGAGAAAGACATTGGTATTCTACCAAGGTAGGCCTCCTAGAGGAAGAAAAACTGATTGGGTCATGCATGAATTTCGGCTTGAAGGACCATTTGGCCCTCCAAAATTATCTCCCATACGGGTAATTAATTTACTCTTCCTATCCTTTTTAATTAAATTCTTAATTACGATTATCTTACTGTTAAGTTAGTTAAAGCTTGACTAATTACAATCAAGTTGATTAATTATATTCATTGCATGTGCAACTTGTCAAAAGTTTGGACGTGTATTACAGGCTGTTTTCACAATTTTAAGAATATCTAATTTCTTAATGGGATTTTTTTCTTTATAAAATTCTTTGATTTTGTTTTCCTTAAATAATCTATTTTGTCTTTTTCTGCTTCCCTGGAGTTTAGCTAGCACCATACGCAGAGCTAAAACCAAAATAGAATCTTCTCACATCAAGACAAAACATTTCATTTTATATTCAAAGATTTTTTTTTTTTTTATTTGCAATGAATTATATTGCTTAAAACCTTTTTCAATAATGTGGATTAAATAGTATTTCGTACTACATATTTATTAATAATAATTAAAATAAACGTAGAACTTACTTTGTTTCGGTACACTAATTCACGCACCTTAGTCATTCTCACCATTTATCGACTATTTTCGACCCTCTCTAGGGTTGTTCATATATCGTATATGAATTAATTGAATCGAATTAAACTTGCATGCAGGAGGATTGGGTTTTATGCAGATTGTTCTACAAAAAAGGAGAAGTTGAAGCCAAACAAGAAACTGGAAGCACCTACGAAAAAGAAATTACAACTTCTTCTTCTCTTCCTCCATTATTGAAACCCTGTGCCACCTTTAACCAAAATAGTAATGAGCAAGTGCCCTGCTTCTCCATTTTGACCCAAAACCAAAATAATTTCTCACAAATCACAGAATCATCCAACAAATTCCTGCCCATATCTGGAGGGTTGCCTGCAGATCATAATCTTGGAATGTATTCATCATCATCAAACGCTGATCAGACGGTGATCAAAGCTCTATTCTACGATCTTACCAAAAGGGAGTTCTCCCCAAGTTTTGGGGATGGAAGTTCAATCAGTTATCTATCTGAAGAGGGATTGCAGTCTTCCATGTGGAATCATTACTGATATGATTTTTAGAACTTGGATTATTCGTGCTACTTTAATTATAATTAAGATTTTGAGTTTTTCCCACATGCATATATGTTTTATATAAAGTCTAAAGTTGATTTAAATTATAAAACATATATTCATAAAAGTTTATAAGATCAAGGTTTTATGTAGTTCGGTTGATCGATCATTTACCTTAAATTTTGTGACAATTTTATTAATTTGTTTCTTTCTATTAGCTTTATTTCAAGAAACGTCAACATCTTAGTCTAGTTATTTTTCCACTAGTGTCATTTAATCTTTTTCTATTAGACAAACATCTAAATTCAATGACAAACGTTATCTTTGGACGGATGTAAAGCTATACACAAGCAGAATGAAAGAAAGGTAGAAAAAGAAGGTCACGTAGTGAGGGAAGAGTTATAGTCTTAGATATAGCTCTTATCGGTATAGGAGACTAAACCCTGATCCTCGAGAAAGCATGAAGTTTGACGACGGATTTGAAACAAAATTAAGTTTGTAAGACTAACATAAAATTTACTAAAAATTCAATGACCCATCATGTCACTATGTAGACAAAGTCAATTGAAGTTGAATTAGTCATATATCATTTAGTTGACTTTTATTTTCCCTTGAAATTCCGTTAAATCGTAATCTTATTCGATCTAGAAGAATACCTACCACTTGTTTGAAGTGAGGAGGATGGACATGTTAGACGTCGAATCAATTAAATGATATAATTAAGACATTTGTACTAAAAAATTAAGAAATTAAGAATTATAGTTTACTAATTGGACAATCAACCTCTCTTTTAGGACTTTATACATAGTCTGAACATCCACTTTTCTTAATGTCAAAAAGATGAAATCAACCGACTGCATTTGCTAAATGATATTATAATTATACAGTTCCAACGTTAGAAAACAACAAATGTAATACGTTTGTGTTTGATAATAATAAACATTTTGGCTGTAACTTTCAGCTATGTATACGAAAAGAAATTAAAAATGTAATTAAAAACACAATTATTTATTGAAAAAAAAAAATTCGCTAAATCCTCATGAGATCACCACAGAGATTCCTTAACCCGATTTTCCAAGGCCGTGTTTGGCTTTTCCAATGTGGCTGTGGATTTCACTAAAAAAATTGTCGCATCACCCCAAAATGCTTATATCCATGGGTGGACGTGGAGGTGGAGGTGGATAGTGTACTAGACATCCTTTATTAATTTTTTATAATTTATTGTGTAATCCGCAATCAGTGCTATCCACATTTATACTGAAGATGCTTTTTTCTTCGCGCGTTTTCAATATATCCAATCAAGTGATTATTAGTGGGCATTGAAGATCAACCTAACAATACGGTCATTAATGTAATTCTTGGTGTTAATTATTATATCAAGAAACTAAATACAAGCACAAAAATATTAGAATTGGGTTGTTTATGGAGCCCACAAGTGTAATTTGAGGCTAACCAGGGTGCAAGGTATTCTTGAAAGGTACTTATGACCAAACTCCCCACAATAATCGTGATGGGAACAACATTAATTTCCCCTAATCCGGTCCATGTAATAAAAGATGACTTTTTTTTCTTTTTAATTATTTTAATATGCATAATTCATGAGAAACGTTTTGTGATATTTTTTTCGTTGACTATGTTATCTTTTTTAGGCCCTGTTTGTTTCTGATTCTCAAATCAATTCTCAAATCAATTCTCATTTGCAACCACACATTCTTCAATAAAATAATATTTTCCATCACATCAATACTTTTTTCTTCTTTTTCAACTTCTCATNTGAGGTTGGAAAAGTAGTAGTGCACTGAGCTACTGAGGAACAACGGGAGATTAGATTGAGTAGAGTTCAATTTCCGTTCTCAACCCATGACCAATATGAGCTCGAAACTTCCTTCATAACTCCCGGAACTTCTTCGACACGAGATCTTAAATATATTGACCATAGTTTAATTGATATAATGAAATTTTTCCGACTTTTAAGTTAAGATTTTGAATTTAACTCGTAAAAATATTGACCATACTTGGTCAAATTTAGTGCAAAATTCTATTTTTATTTTTTTTTTTTTCTAAAAGAGGGCAATACCTTCGAGAATTTATTAATATGTCCTCACTTGTGGCAGATGAATACCGTGGTTACAATTGAAATGAAACAAAGCTATAAATGGGGAAGTACTACTTCCCTTACAGCAGAAATAAAGTAAAGCAGTAAAAAAAGAAATAGTACTTCTCTTACAATAGAACGTCATTACAACTAAGTAATAAGGGCAAAATGCAAGTTAATACTTTCATATCATGCCCATGTTTGGTAAAAATTAAAATTAAGATTTTAATTTAAGTTAAAGTCAACAATTAATTTTAACCATATATTTCATGAAGTCCACAACTTTTTAACCACATATTTCGTCAACTTATATTGAAATTTAATAAAAATCTGATTTTTATCTTTACCAAATGGGGACACATATCAACCAATTAATTTATTGAGGTAATAAGAACAATGGATATGATATATATGAACTACAAACAGCGTGCATATCATCAAAGCCCCATTTTCATTTAATTTTATTGTGGTAAAATCACCAAGTATCGGCTCATAATTGAGTTTCAGTAATTTTACCAAATCCTAATTAAAAAAAAAAATCGTACAAATGTTTAAAATTTTAACAATAGTTATTCAATAAAGTAATGGCATGTTTATAGTATATTAATATTCTTCCAAAATATTTATATACTTAAATAGTGTTTGATGCACATTTTTTAAGAGAGAATGCATTTTTTTTTTATGTGATGGTGAATATGTGGTTGAAAAGAAAGAAAAGTTATTGATGTGATGGAAAATATTATTTTATTAAATAATGTGTGGTTAAAAATGAGTAAAAGAATGAAAATGAAAATGTGGCTCAAACAGGGGCCTAGTGTATGTTTCTTCAGAAACAAAAATAATATTCTTTTAAATTTCTAGAATATTGATTTGTATACAATTATACTTATTCCAAAGTATAAACTAATATTGAACATTGATTTATATAAAGTCTTGAGTTTTAAAAAGCAATAACACAGTACCATTCTTGCCCATTAATAGATGTAACATTGTGATTTATTCAAGAAAAGCAAAAGAATAATATTCCTAGAGAATAGTGAAACTCATAAAGTACAGGTGGATGTTTTTTTTTCAAAATTGGGTCTGAATCGAATAAAACAAACCAGTTCGGTTCCGATTCCGATTTCGATTCCTTAATTAAATGGATCAAATTTGGGACCATGCATTTAGAATTGATCGTTTTCGGTTCGATTCGATTCGATTCTTGGTACTGTCTTAAAAACCAATAATGGATTCAGTCTCCCTAATTTTTTCTTTTTTTTTTTTGGACTATACATTCTTCTTTTGTCTTTTACTATAAAATTTAATTTGTAATCAACATTTAAATATCAATAATTTTATAAATACTTTACAAAAATTTATAAATTTAATGCAAATATAATAGGAAAAAATGTATTTTTAGTTCAACTTTTCGTAAGAACTCAAATTTCTCATTATTTTCAAAGTAATCGATCATCAGAATCAAGATTTTTTTCTTGAGGATAATCTAATTATCAATACTACATACATTTTTAAATATATATTTTTATATGAATTTTCTTAAGAATTAATTTTTTATCCAGATTTTATAGTTTATATTGTGTTTAATAATTTATCTTTTTTATATCATTATTAATTGATATTGATCAGTCTTGGAGTGTATTTTTGTTTGTTGCCTAATTTAATTATTTTATCTATTTTTAATTTGACAAATAGTTTACACTTTGTTTTTTTTTTTAGTATAAATAATCTAACCAGACAGGATTGGATCGGATCAGAACCGGTTGGTTCAATTCCGATTCAACTTTATAGTTAGATATGGAACTAATGATTCTATTTTTAAGATTCTCATTGGTACTTGGTTTGATTCGATTTCCTTCGAAATTGAACCGTGTTTACTCCTATTATAAAGTGATGCTCTTTTAGAGAAATAATATAATATTCTGTTTGAATATAAAATTAATCTTCAAAATAGAAATCTAATACTCGTCTAGTTGATAAGGTATAAAATTTCACTTTTAAATTAATAATAATACAATCTGTTTCTCAAAATATTGATATTTATAAAGTCGTTATTCAAGAACAAAAATATTGCGTTCTTTTAACATTGACTTGCGTGAAATCGTGCTTTCTCAAAAAAAGTCTTTTGAAATATTGATACATGGATTTTATCCCTCAAAAAGTAATAATATAATATTCTTCTAAAATATTGATTTTAATTGATATCACTCCAATAGCAACAATACAATATTCTTCTGAAATATTGATTAGAATAAACAATTACATGCAAACAAATAGTTGTCTATCATCAAATGGTATAATCAAAACGTTATAATCAAACAAAGTAACGTATATCGCTTTGTTTTTATACACTTCAAAAAAAAGAATACTAACATTTTCTTTTAAAGAGGAATAAATGATTTTTTTGCCAATTCAGCCCTCGTTTGACCCCCATTAAATTATAACTCATTTTTCTTCTTCTTCTTATCAACCACACATTTTTCAATAAAATAATATTACACGTAACAAAAAAATTCTTTCTTTTTTAATTATACATTTTACAAAAAAATTACTATTCCTCTCATTATAATGTAAAATAATAGGGGTCAAACGAGTGCTCAATTTGTTAGAGCTTTGTGGCTTACTTTGAGACTTAGAAAAAATTATAAATCAATTATTTTATTATTTGCATATGGCTAAAACTTTGTGTTGATAAGATGTTACAAAATTAAGAGAAATGGGAGAACATCATAATAGAATTGAGAAAGACAAAGCTAAAGAATGTATTTAAAATAAATTTTTCTATCTTATTTTCAACCACAAATTCTTCAATAAAATAATATTACATACAAATTAAAAAAATTCCTTATTTTTTAACCACACATTTTTCATTAAAATACTATTTCAAAATACATTTTGGACA